GGGCATATGGACGTCTCCCGCTCCGCATCTGTGTCATCGGTCGCGTTTTCTGTGGATGCCTGCGCGTGTGTAGTATGCATGTGTGTTTGAGACCGGGCGCTGGGAACAAACGTGCATCTGTTAAATTTGACAATAAAGTCCTGCAGCGAAGCTGCCAAGATTGGGGCCGCGGGTGGGGGTGGAAGGCAGAGAGGGTGGGAGAGAGCTGGAGTCTCAAAAGGCGAAGCCAAAGCGCCTGGCCCAGGTATTATGTAGGGAGAAGGTGAGGAGAGCAGCTGCTCCTTCTCGCGGGGTGTGTATGGGAGCGAGGGTGCGTGTGTCCCTGTGAAGAGTACACACCGATCTGCTCAACATATGTCGCCACAAATCACAGTATCTCTCCCCCTCCCACCCCCCACTCCCTCCTGACCGAAGGCAGAGCGGAGACAGGCGCTGAGAAGAGGCGCCTCTTCAACAGGTGTCTTGGTGCGCAATGCACCTTTTCACGCATTCACTGTCCCTGTCGGCGGCGGGAATAATGTGGACACTTTGTTTCCAGGCGCTGTGCGCAAGCTACGGACGCCCGGGGGGGAGGCGGCCCTGGGCAGGGAGGAGGATCTGGAAATAAAGACTTCGGGCGCTCCCGAGGTCCCGAGCCCACTCCTCCCTTTGTTCGAGGACTCCCTGGGCCGGAGCTCCCTTGTGCGCCCTGGGGGGTGGCATATGGCGCCCTCTCACCTACCCAAGAAAAAGAACCAGACACCCATTCAAGAGCGCACAAGGTCCCTGAGCCCGGGGAGGGGGAGTCTCTGAGGGAATGGCCTCTCTCAAAAGCGAATGAGGAACCCGCCTTATCTCTCCCCACCCCACCTCCACCATCCCCCTCAGCTGGCGCAGCAGCCGTTGGGTGGGGAGCAGCGCGCCGGGCAGCACCAGCCTGCGGAAGCGCCCCAGCTCCCGGCAGATGAAATATGGGGCTGGTGAGCCCCTGGAGACCATATGCTTTCAATAAAAGAAGACAAATAGGACCGAGATAGGCCTTGCAGCCAACCTGTTATAAATGGGTGGCAATTGGGCCAATGTACACGGCCCCCGGGGGGAGGCCTGCTCGGTGCCAAATCCATGTGTCAGCTTCTGGGACAGGTGTGCCCAGGGGCCAGGGGCCAGGTCTCCCCCCTCTGGGTTTATCACGGCAAAGGTAATATTGTGCTAACTATGAGTAAACAGTCATTGTGAAAACGAGGGAGAGTTTATCAGAGGCGAACTAGTTGGGGGGTGGCCTGACAATAAAGTTGCCCGCCTTGGGAGCAGGTGACGGCTGGCTGTGGGACTCCCGCAGTAGATGTTTTCCAAAGCACTCCACTTTACAATCTCTTGTAATTATTTATTAAACGAAATCTATTTATTATTATTTTAGCAAACACTGGAGACAGGTGGGGCTTTCTTTTCGTCGTCTCCTTTTGTTTGAAGGGCTGTTTGAAGTGGCCAGTCTCAGCCCCGGCAGCTCGCTAGCCAGATTTTTGTCTTCCCCTCTTTCAGAGCTGAGGCGAAGGCGAGAGAAAGAAGACCCCTCATCTGGCAAGCCATTAGCTATTCAGCCTCCTATGGCCCCCCCTCCCTCCCGCTCCTGTCTCAAAGAGCCCCCCGGCACTGCTAAGATTCCCCCCGCCGACAGGAAGGCATCAAGGCAGACCGCTGCCTTCCTTCTTTTCCAATCCGCCCGCGTTTTCCAGGCGTCAGGCTGTCGCCTCTCCCCTGGGCCCCCTCAGTCTCCAGACAAGCCTAGGTCTCAGAGAGTCGAGGGGTGCAGGGGTCCCGGAGGCCTTAGAGGCGTTGGCTGGCCCGGAGCTTCAGGAACAGACTCTGCTCCCCGCCGGAAGAGCCGTTTCACAAATGCGGCCAGCGCGCACTGAGTTGTCACAGCCTGCGCCTCCGTCGGCAAAAGCACAGGAATTACTTTGGAGAGGGGTCTGTGCGTCCCCTACAGCAGAGAGGGAGGACATGGATCCTCGGTCGCTACTCCCCCTGGAATCCTCGACCTCCGGCCCACATTCCTGGCCAGAAGTAGGGCTGCGGAGAATTCTTGCGTGCCGCAAGGAGACCGCTGCCCCCGCTGCTGCGCGCTCTTCGCCCTGTTTTTTGCGCAAAGCAGGAGTGGTGGTGGCCTGCCAGCGCTGGAGAGCTCTGAGCCGGAAGGGCTCTGGGGAAGCTGGATAAGAATTCCAAGCGGGCCTCAGAATTCTCTCTCAGTCAAGAAGGTTCACAAGAATCCCCAGAATCTTCCCTGGTGCAGGAAGCTCGCCCTGCGCCCCTCTCCAGCTCCCATTAGCTGCTGGAGGCAAGCCTGAGCCAAGGCGAGTCCTGTCCTCACTTGTCATCTGAGGGCCTCTGCCCGATGACATTCCTGGTTGTGGGTTGCTCTTCAGGCTTCCAGGGACCCATAGGGGTGCTTTGACCCCTTATAGCCAGGTTCTCTCCATGGAGCCAGGCTGGGTCCCAGAGCCTTAGGGAAACATATTTCCGATCTCCTCTCTCAGTCTCTAATTTGCAGGATAGAAATGAAGCAAGGCTGGGCTATGGGGCAGGAAAGTAGAGAGATGGACCAGGAGTAGAGACTGGCTCCCCTTGGCACTGGGAGATGGGGCCGCTCCCTCTTTTCTACTCTGACCCTGTCATTCCTCACAGAACCAGGATTTCTCCTATTTTCTACATTTTGGGGTATCTGTTTTTGCCTTGAAAAAATATTTTCTCCCAATCAAGGAGAAGCAGCTGGTGCAACAGAGACTCTAGGACTAGGAGTCTTCGGACCTGAGTTTTATATGGTTCTGATAGAACTTGCTGTGTGACCTTGGGTGAGTCACTTCCCCTTTCTGAGACTGGAATTTTCCATCTGTAAAACGGGCCTCAGGTTCTCATTCTTATGACCAGAAGACAAGTTTGGAGCAAGTCGTGGCCTAAGGGAAGAGCAGCAGCAAAATGTGGAACCCAAGAGCCTCGGCGGGGTCCCTTTGCTGGTCCTGTGCCTGACCCCAACTTCAATTTCCAGGAGGCAAGGGAAGGAGCCTCTGCTAACGGCCCACCAGCTGAAATCAGGAGGACAGCACCCCAGTCCCACACAGCCCTAGAGCCCCCTCTCCCTGGGTCCCCAGCATATCCATCCTCTCCCTCTGCTTTTGAGGTAATTTCACCCTCCAAGCAGCCTGGGCGGTGTTGAGAGACCGTCATTAGGGCAGATATGCAGACTTACCTCGTCCCCTCACCCCATCCCCTCAGTTTCCTGGTCAGATCCTGCCCCCCTCCACAGCTTCTGGGAGGCTCAGGGTATCTGGATCTGCCAAAAAATGAAGCCTTTGCTGCCTGCAGAGGCTTAACCCAGGCCCCAGTCTTCCCCACCTCAGCTTCCTCCCCCAGGCATGTTGCAGTCAAGAGAGCGGAGCGGAAGCGAGACCCCTCACTCTGAGCGACCGGAAGCAGAAGACCACGGGGTGTCCGAGGCGGGGACAAAAGGGAGGGGCCAGAGAAGAAAAGACAGATAGTGTGTTCAGACTCACTTTGGAAAGATTTCCAGACGGTGCTAACAAGAGCCTCGGAGAGTCCCTGCCCTGTTCTCATGGCCTGATCTCTGCCTAATACCAGGTCCAGGAGGCTGGACCAGGTAACGCTGGCCGCTCCTGCCCGCCTGTAATTGGACAGGAGGACTAAAGAGAGAAAGAGTTGATCTGCCTCTCTTAGCACCAGCACACCACCGGCATTTAAAAGACACAAGGGCTCACCGTGAACTCCTGGCCCTCTCCTGACCCCTTCTCACCTGAGCTCTTCCCCCACAGGCCCTGACTTGAATGCTACGGTACTGTCCACGACTGGTAGGGGTGGAATGTCCCCTGGGAGTCCCACTACAGCCACCCTCCCTCTCTGGGGTTCGATGGACACGTCCTGGGTTTCAGATGGGGGGATTCAGGGAGAGGTTCTAAGCGCTTCCATCTGAGGAGGGGGGGCGTCCTCTCAGGACACGGTGGGGGGCTCCTTACCCCCAGGCGAAGATCTCTAAGTGGCAAGGACACAGTAGGATCCTTCTCTGTGGTCGCCCCGTCTCCCTCCCAGAATGGAGAGGGTCAGTGAAACATCACCCTATGTGTGTTTCCTAACCTGACCCATAGTGCAGGAGAGCAGGTTGGCATCAAAAATTAGTCACTCCTGCAAGCTGGTCGTCAGGACACCTGGCTCCTTGTGCAGTCTCTTGCCTGTGATTTGGGGCAAGCCGCCTCCCTCTCTGAGCCTGAATTTCCCCACTTGTAACACACGGAAATTAACCTACTCTACAGACTTTCCAAAGCCCCCTTCAGGGTACCAAGAGAGGGTCTGGACAGATGCCAAGGAAAGATAGACCATGAGCAAAGAGGTCTGGGGCGCCAGACGCGAGCCAGACGAGGCTCTTCTCACTGGGCGAGGCTCTTTGAGGAACCGAGAGTTGCTGGGACAGAGCCCGCGAGGAGAAAGCAAACAGAGCGACGCTCCCCTCCCCCGACCCCGGCCCTTTGTCCGGAATCCAGCTGTGCCCCGCGGGGGAGGAGCGGGCTCGCGTGGCGCGGGCCCCCGGCCCCGGCGCTGATTGGCCAGTGGCGCGGGCCGCTGCGGGGCAGGCACGCTCCTGGCCCGGGGCGAGCAGATAAAGCGTGCCAAGGGGCACACGACTTGCGGTTCAGGAAATCCGCGCCAGGGGAGAGCAACACAGGCCCGGACTCCGCTTTGCGCTTCTCTTCTTCTTTGGAGCTGGGGGAACTCCCAGGCAGCGGCGCCTGCGTCTCAGCTCAACTTGCAGACGAAAAGACCAGCTCAGCTCACCGCTGCTCTTGCTGCCAGCCGCTCTCTACCCTTTTGCACTCGAGAACAAGGTAACACCTGGAGGCCGCAGAGTGGCGGCCGGAGGGGAAAAGGCGTCCTCTGATCCAGCGCGGGGTGGCTTTTTCTCGGTTTTTTCCTACCTGGCCCCGGGATCGGGAACTGAGCCTAGGTGACCGACCTATGCTTACCCGTACCTCTTACCCCGCCGCAGGATGGCGCCTCATCCCTCGGGTGCGCGAGCTGTCCAAGTGACCCACGAGACAGAACAGCCCTTCCCGGGCGCCTCGGACGACGAAGTGACCTGCGTCGCGTCCGCTCCGCCCAGCCCTACTCGCGAGCGGGGGTACTGCGCCGAGGCGGAAGGAGGCAACTGCCGAGGGGCCGCGAGGAAGCTCCGGGCTCGGCGCGGCGGGCGCAGCCGGCCCAAGAGCGAGTTGGCTCTCAGCAAGCAGCGACGGAGCCGGCGCAAGAAGGCCAACGACCGCGAGCGCAATCGGATGCACAACCTCAACTCGGCGCTGGACGCGCTGCGCGGCGTCCTGCCCACCTTCCCCGACGATGCGAAGCTCACCAAGATCGAGACGCTGCGCTTCGCCCACAACTACATCTGGGCGCTGACGCAGACGCTGCGCATAGCCGACCACAGTCTCTACGGGCTGGAGCCGCCCGCGCCGGCCTGCGAGGAGCTGGGCAGCCCGGACGGCTCGCTCTACTCCCCGGTCTCCCAGGCGGGCAGCCTGAGCCCCGCCACCTCCCTGGAGGAGTGCCCCGGGCTGCTGGCGCCTGCCTCCCCTGCCTGCCTGCGCCCTGGCGCCCTGGCTTTTTCAGACTTTCTATGAAGGAGCCAGTCGGCCGCTAGGCGGTGGGTGCTGGGAGAGAGGGAAGGGATGGAGGCCGTCCCGGGTGCGCGGCGGCGGCCCTCACGCGAACTTGCTTCTCCTGCCTTTGGCTCGCTGACCCTCGGCGGGCCCAGGCGCCTGCAAAGGTGGCAGGCGGGTTCAATCCCCTGATTCTCTGCGCCGCGCCAACTGTAACCCTCTGCCGCGGCCGGCGCAAATGGGCATTGCAGGCTGCGCGCCTTTAGGCCCCCTCCCTGCCGCCACCCCAATATCTCATGCAAAGAAGACGAGAATGATAGCACTACACAGCCAGAAATGCCCACCGTCTCCCACCACCCCACCCTCGCTCAAGTCTGTCTGTCGTTCTGTCCGTCTGTCTCTTACCTCTCCTCCCCCAATGAGATTTAATCCAATATTTGGTCTCTCAGCGTTTGCTCCCCTCGCCCAGCGTCTCTTCTCCAGAAACGCCGCTGACCTTCTCCTCTGGTCCCTATCAAGTCCCGGGTTTCAGGCCGCTCCACTCTGCCTTAATCCACGAAGGCGATCCTCTGCCTTCTCCTCGTGCACTTTCCTTCGGAGCCATTGCCCTCCTGGGGGCGGGAGACCAGGCTGTAAACTGAGAAAGCGCCAACCGGCTCCAGGTGCGCCTCCTCCGCCCCCCTGAGTCCCGGACCGCGCTTGTCTTAAAAAAAAAAAAAAATCACTTTGTAAATTATATGATATCTTTCAAAATGAATTTTGGTATGGTAGATTATATGATCCCCTGCCCTGTATTACACAGTCGTATTTATTGATGAGGTTTCACAGAGGGAAAAGTCTATATTTTGTACATAGATTATTTAGGGACTGGTGAACGAGATTTTGAGCGAATAAAAAAGGACCCTCAAGAAGACTGAGCAGGGTAACTCGATTGTGTGGAGAGGAGGAACAGCCTCTGAGGCAGCAGGGGTGGGGTGGGGAGGGTGGGTTATGTTGGGGGGGGAGTAGGGGGTGCTCTGTCCAAGTACAGGGATGAGACTCTTTGTGCGGGTCTGGGGACCCTCCTTGGGCCTGGACTAAGAGACTGTAGCGCTAGGCTGGAAGCTGGGAAGATTGCGTTCCAAGGGCAAGTCAGCTATACACTCTTGGAAAGTAACAGCCGGAAGGCTCTTAAGAAATCATTGATCCAGCCTCCTTGTTTTATTTATGGGGCAGCGACTTGTCTTATTCCAAACAGTGGTTTAGAAGAAAGATAAGTCTCCAAGTAGGACCGCTCACTGGCACTGCTGGCCCTAGCCTCTATGCCAATAGCCTGGATTTGGTTGCATTTGAGTAAGGAAAGGAGTAACATCCCGGCTGCAGGGTCAGGGCCCTCCGAAATACTGCCGGCGGGCTGGGCATCCCAGGAATTTTCCCAAAGTGCTTAGAGACCTAATACATCTTCTGAGCGCACTTTAGGCACCGGCGCTGGGACCGCGGCGTCATGATTTGTGGGGCTGAGCGGCGGGGAGCAGAGGAGGTGGGGGGTCGGGCTGGAATCTGTGGCACCCCCGGACACCTGGCAGCCTTGATTGAAAGCTTATAAAGATACTGTTCAAGGTTTCCAGCCACGCGTTCTCTATTTCTCCCAAGGTAGAATAGGACTGGTGTGCGGCAGGGACTGAAACTTGTCCCAGGGATGCTGCTGGAGCGCCCTTCCACGGCTTCCGGGACCCCCAGGACCTCCGGGAAGCAGGTCCAAGCTGTAAGAATCCGCAGAGTCTGCCTGGCGCTGGGGAACAGGAAAACGGAGAGTGGGCCTACTCTGTGAATTGAATCCCAGAGGCCTCCTTGTTTAGCCCGGGGCACCAGGGGAAGAATGGAGCCAGCCCTAGTGGGGCAAGGCACGGTCAGGGGCCAGGACCCCCTTTCCAGCTCCTTAGAGCGCAAAGGCGGCGGCTTTGCAGGCGTTAACGCCTCTGTGACTGTCTCTTATGCCCTCCCCTCTTCAGACTGAACTTTTCCTCTTTCCTCTACTCCCAGGTTCCTAAAAGTAGCTTGGAGGAGCTATATCTCAGTTATCAGGGGCTGGGTTTGGGGGCGGGAGGGGGCCTGCGGTAAACAAACGAATGAAGGAAGGTGTTGTTTCATTTCACTGCTTTAATCTGGGAGGAGGAGATTAATGCGTTATTGGTAACCTCTGCAGCAGCCAACTTTCCACCTGGGGCACCATCTGGGGGCAGGTGTCAGCAGCTAGGAGTTGCACAGACCAAGCCAGCGCCTGCTACTTGGTGGACATTGGGGGGAGGGGTGTGGACAGACAGAAAAAGTAGGAAAGTCCATCTCTGTTCTCCTGGGACAGTAGCAAGTATATAGACAAAATCTTTCAAGGTGAAAAAATTTGGTGCTGGGTGGAGGTACGAGCCACAGGATAGATGGTGGGACTGTTACCTGGGGCTGGATTGGGAAGCTTGTGGCATTTGGGCCAGGATTAAAGGTTTGGAGGGGAATTCCTTAAGCAGAAAGATCATTCTTCCTGTGAAAGGCTGTGGGAAGTACTGTTCAAATAGGCAGGGGGCTCCCTTGGTGCAAATGACCCCCTGAAGCTGGAAGAGTGTCTGTTGGCACTGCCTTGCAGGTGGAGGCACCCACTGCCCAGTCTGTCTCCTGCTTTCAAGGGTGTTTATTAAGGAGCCATTAGTCATCCAACACACACAGACTGGTCCTCCGCCCAACGAGTTAAAAAAAAAAGTTTAACCAACTCAACTGCTGGGCTGCCACCTTGTGTTCAACCCTGGAGCTTCTGTCAACTCTACTCTCCAAGTTAGGAGGAGGCAGAGGAAAACTTAGGGTTTGGTTCAATCATTGCAAAATTTAGGGTTCCTGTGCCCAGATGAGCTCCAGCAATGTGTGGAATCGCATTGAGGAGGGAAACCTCTTCCTTGCCTCTTTCCAAAGAGCCTCTCACCAGGAATGGCTGGGAAACATTTCTGTGAGTGGCGCACACAACTAGCCTAGCATCGCCACCACCACGCCCCGCACCCCACATGGGCATTTTGCGTTCAGCGGCTTCTAAAATCAGCCAGCCTGCTGGCAATCTCCGCTGGAAGTCTGCCCCTGCCCACTGCACCCGGCCTTGTATGGCTATGGAGCCGCCTGCTGTCTGAGGTCGTTGCCTGCGCCCCAGCTCCCTGAAACTGAGACAGGGTCCCAAGTGGGAGCAGGAAAGACGCTCCAGTTGAACATCTTTCTTCCCCCTCTTCTGCCTTTGTCTGAGCCCAAGCCTGGCTTCCAGAAAAACAGCACATGAATCTTGCGCCACCCCCTCACACCCCCATCCACACACACAAGCAGGTAGATTTATGGTGCCCTGCCCCCACCCCATTCCACCCCCAAGCCAGCCACAGTCGGAGGACAAAGCATCCCAGGGCCATTGGAATGCTAATGTCTGGGAGCCAGGCCGCTGGGCTGGCACAAAGGAAGGCTGGGCCATGGATGCAGGCGACCCCACAGCCGCACTCTGCCCCTCCTCTCTTCCACGGGCCATTCTACCTGGCTGTGTGACCTTGGACAAGTCTGAGCCTCAGCTAATTCACATAAGAAGTTGGAGGGAGTCCCTACACTCTTTCATTGGATTTCGGAGCACCCAAGAGAAGGTCATGCTTACAGTGTTTGGAGTTACAGCCCCCCACGACCAGAAGCGGTGGAAAAGATCCTTCAGGCCCTGGCACTAGGGACAGTGTGGGGAGTGTGTGTGTGGGGGGGGCTGATTCTGCTGAGAATGTGGAGAAGAACAAATGCTGGGTAGATTATAATTACATTTTTACCATCATGTAATTAATATTCTCTCTTGTGTTCCTTTCCCCCTCCCCCCTTTTTAAAATACCTGCAGACGGCGCTCAAGAAAAGTAGTGAGAGGCCGCTAGCTAACCTTACCCGCCTGCTCTGCCTTCAAAGGCAGAGAGCACAGACGGTGGGAACCTTGAGGCAGGACACTTCTTTTCTCAGGTACCCTCCTGTAGCTATTGAGGTGGGCAAGGCAGGATGGTCACACTCAGGGAAACAGAGACCCAGAGTCTTGGAAGTAGGTGACTTGCCCAAGGCCCTCAACCTTCGGTGAGTTATTGGAGCAAGCTCTGACTGTGACCCTGGCTCAATTTAGAGCTCTTTCCTCTGTGCCGGGGCAGTCGTTAGTTGTTTGCGCTTTGGTTCGAGCCGGGTCCTCTGGGTCTTGTAAGGCCAAGAGGCTCCTTTGCGCTTTGGCCGCTCTCTGGACCCCTAGGTGAGGTTCCAAGCTCCTGTCTGCGCTCTCTGCTTCCAGGATGCCAGGGCCGATGCGGACGGAGACGCCGCCTGCCTGGCTAACCCGGTCGGGTCCTGAAAGGCTGCGGCGCGCCCCTGACCATGGTGCTGAAATGACCGCGTTGGTTCAGAGAGTGAGGCTCCCGGGAACGTGGCGTTCTGAGTACAGAAAGCCACCCATCAACCTCGTCTGCCCACCTAGGGAGCCCGCTGTCAACATGTAGACCCAGAAGGCTGTCAGGTTTTCTTGATGTGGTGGGGAAAGCATGGACTCTGTTGCTACTCACTGTGTGACCCTAGCAAGGCCCTTTTGTCTCTAGGCGGTAAAACACCCCCTTGTTTTTGGAGCTAGAATTGAATGCCCAGGTTAGGAATTTCTGACAGCACCTGAGAGGTCTGAAGTGGAACAACATTGGAAGTTTAAGCTGCAGCAGCTCTAACTGGGAAAACTGGTTTGGAACTTTGCCCTCAACAGGGGTCTCGTTCTTTGGGTTACAATGAAGTTTTAGTTATTCAAAGAACAAAGGCAAAAGGAAGTCCTCCGAATGCAGACACAGGGCGGCAAGAGTGGCTAAGAACACCTATTTTAGAATCACACAGACATGGATTCAAAACCTGGTACAACCACTAACTGATGATTTTCAGTTAAACCCCTTTGCCTCACTGACACTCATTTTTCTCACCAGTGAAGTTGGGACAATAAGTAGTAGCCACTTAATTGGGCTGACTAAATGTGCTTGCTTTTCTAGTGAAGGCTAAGCCACCATAAATGGTAATTATTATTATTAGCATCTTCATTTGTCTCAAATTCTCCCGGGTTTTTTTTTGGGGGGGGTG